AGTATACGATCAATGCTAAACATGAACAAGATCCGCAACAATTTGGTATCTCAGTATGGCAGGCTATTTTTATGGCAGGTCACAAAATTCACAGTGGCCCCTGCGTGAACGATAAGCCTTCACTGCTGCCGGTTTCATGGCTCAATTTTCCAATAAGTTCATAAGCCTTTGAGTTTTGGCAGGACAGATAGCGAAATACAAATTTTTACATATATGAATTTAATGCATCATACAAAATAACTTCATCAACGAGGCGATGCAGAAAACAATTAGTTTCTCTTGACGCAGCATATATAGCCACGTCAAGCTGATTCTTCATGTCTACTCGCCATTTTTTCATCCCACTCTTATCGCTTCTACAATTGACCTTTCTAGAGAGGCTTTCTATCAAAATATTTTTTCTTAAGTTTCACCAGATGGTGTGATAAAGATGACCGATTTTTTAAGCCAGCGGATAAATGATATCGGTATATGAACAGCAGGGACAGTAGGATGCAAAAGTGTAGAAGACAACATGATTTAAAATCAAGTTGCCTGACGGATGCGATTTACAAAGCAATACGCACTGGCCCATGGAACAACATATGTACTGTAAATACAAATCAATCCTGTAAATTAAGAAAATATTTGTTTCTGAAGGCAGCAATCATTTTACAGACACTTTTCTAGGGAACACTGAAACTGCGGGCTTGGTAAAGAAGACAAACTTGTCCTAGGATATATTCGAAACAAAAACTAAATTACCAGAAAAAGAGACCATTTCAGTGAACTTAAAATCGATACAATAAAACAAGGATACCTTAGAAACAAAAAGTCAACTATTTAACTCAATGGCTTCGATTCAGAAAACAGAAGTTTGAAATAATTGAAAATGCAATTAAAGATATCAGCGCTGTAAGCCTACACAAGCAACTAAGGGAACCTGCTTTCGCAGGATAACCGGCTCATACCGCGGAAGTTCTCGTTGTTCGCTAAACTAAATTCTGTAAACAACATCAGAAAAACGAAGTTACAACACATAAGGCACGACAACTCAATAAACTAAAAACTGCAAAGGGCGGGGAAGTACGGTGATTTTACAAGATTTGCGAAATCACCTTATATAGACCGCATTAGCATTCGTCCATATCTCTCAAACGACTTCCTTGAAGCTTTCAGTCTCCAGTGAAAATGCTGCAAATTCATTCGAATCGCGACATCTCAGCTCGTTATTTAACTGTTCCCGGAGAAAAACAATAAGTTTATGCTAAATAACCGGCACGGAGAACAATAAAAGTTGCGAACTTCAGAAAAGCAGCCAAAAACATACTCGATAGACCATTAACGTCCATAGGAAAGCGATTCGAATTCGGTTTGGACGGCCAGATTTCGTGAGCGTTCTGTAGACGGACAGGAAGTGATGCAGACCAGCCTCCCTGCAAAAACTGCAACCTATTCAGCTTGCTTTAAAACGGGCTCGCGCCAAAACCGACCCGCCTTCCGGGCCTTAAGAACAGCCCAGGGATGCGCTTGCGAAACAACGCCATGCAGTACAACACATTAGGCGCTTACCCGAGACTGAGCCGCAATTAAACCAAACCAAACATTCCGCAAGCAGGGCCTGAAACAATCTACGTTACTACACAGACAACGAAAACAAGCGGGCTTGAAATGAATACGCATATTTAAAATCTTGTTTTTCAATAACCCAAAGCACATTTAAGTAATATTGCGTCAGCATTGAATATGCCTTGCAGGCAAGTAAGAACATGAAAACCTCGTTATAAAGATTTAATTCCTGGAACTGTAGTTCGTCAATGTAGCGTCAACTGGAAAATATTTATACTGCCGTTCGCATAGCAGGATCACTTGACAGTAATATTCGCATTGACCATGACATTTCAAATGAAGCACGTAGTAAAATTTATTATCATCTTCCCATTGTCTAGCAGCACACAATGGATAGAATTAAGTAATTCTAAGGTTCATACCGATACCGAGCCGTGGATAACTTGAAGGTGATAAGCCATTTGATTTGATAAGCCAACATGAGAAAAAGAAAAATAATAGTTTATTTACAGCGATTCCAGCGTTTCAACCGAATTGCACGGTGGTCACCATTCCTTGATGATGCTGAAACTGTTGTAAATATAGCGATTTTTTCTGGTTTTCTCATGCTGCCAGCCATGGAATCAGCAGACCTATCACCTTTAATTAATACATCTTTGAAAATGCTTGCAGTATTTATTAAAGTAGACGGTCTGACGTCCGTAGAAACTTCAAACGGAATGGGGTACTGCTTTTAAATTGAATTTCATAAATAATTTATTGAAAGACGTTTTTACATAATCTGTTATTTTAATAAATTAAGGCAGAATGACAAATGTGCAACCAGTCTTCATTCAGTTCGAAGCAACATCCGCAATGGCCCTGTATCTTATTGTGGCAAATTGCTTGCAGACAAGGCTGCGCTTAATGTATTGGTACCCCGTTTCGAAGAGGAGCCTTACAGTAACTGGATTCGGGCTTCAATTAGAAGGCGCGACCGATGTAGTATATTTGGTCTTAAAAAACCTTTATTATGAGGTAGAGTGCAGGCAATAAACAAATAATGTATAAGGCTAAGACTAAAATACTACAGATGCAGCAACAGTAACTAAGTTCAAAATTAGCATGAATCTCCGCCAATATGTCCGATTGGTTGCTGCTGCATTGCATTATAACACCTTCATTATCCTTTTATTCATCAGAAGAGTTGGCGAATAGAACCTGTTCATCGCCTACTGGCAATTTGAGACGTAGCGGCTCGACAACGGCTGCCAAAGATCGACAAACGACGACCAAGACACGAATCAGCAATGGAGTCAATACCCGTCCTGAACGGAGAAGAGACATCGTGATGCCATTATCGCACTCACAAAAGTTCCACGGGAGCGACACCACAAGTGGGATTTTACAGTCGTAAATTTGGAACATATCTGCTCTCAGAAAGAAGAAGCAAAGCAAAAGCTAGTTGATAAGGCCACAAATTACCAACTCGACATAGTTACACTCATCATCAAAGCACTAAAACAGGAATTCTGAACCTCTGGAAGATATTCTGCTCAGGTGTAGACATCACGATGCGCGTTCAGGCATGTTATACTGGTAGAACCATTAAATGGAAGTCTGTAAACGGAGGAGTAGCAATCCTTCGACTGAAGCTACAGCAGGCTAAAGCGTCGACCTTCTTAGACGTCAGTGCTCTTAATTTAGAGGGAGAATATGAGTCTCATACTGAGGAAGTGGAGAGAGCCGTCTGCGAAGTGCCGACTACCGCATCCCCCATTCTAATGGGGAATCTTAATGCGCATGTCGGAGTAGATGCTGAAAAGTGCAAAGGTGTGATTGAGAATAAAGGCCTAGGGATTTCAAAAATAACGGCATTAAGTTCATGAGGTTTTGTGCAAACAACGGACTGTCGATTATGAACAAGTATCGAAAAGTATCGAAGCGTACATCGGTACACGTGGTATAAGGAATGAATCTTGTGCAGAAATCTACGATCGATTTGATGCTCGTATGGTCTGACTTACGGCGCTCTGCAGTGCATGTTCGCATTACGAAAGGAGCAGAGCTATCAACCGATAAGCACCTCATTGTTGGCACCCTGTGTCGTAAGTTGTGGTCTGCCATCCAAA